AAAATCAAAATTAACATTATTGGACAAATTCAAGTTAAAATTAGTCAGATAAACACTTCTCAGATGAAAACATAAAATCAAAATTAACATTATTGGACAAATTCAAGTTAAAATTAGTCAGATAAACACTTCTCAGATGAAAACATAAAATCAAAATTAACATTATTGGACAAATTCAAGTTAAAATTAGTCAGATAAACACTTCTCAGATGAAAATATAAAATCAAAATTAACATTATTGGACAAATTCAAGTTAAAATTAGTCAGATAAACACTTCTCAGATGAAAACATAAAATCAAAATTAACATTATTGGACAAATTCAAGTTAAAATTAGTCAGATAAACACTTCTCAGATGAAAACATAAAATCAAAATTAACATTATTGGACAAATTCAAGTTAAAATTAGTCAGATAAACACTTCTCAGATGAAAACATAAAATCAAAATTAACATTATTGGACAAATTCAAGTTAAAATTAGTCAGATAAACACTTCTCAGATGAAAATATAAAATCAAAATTAACATTATTGGACAAATTCAAGTTAAAATTTAGTCAGATAAACACTTCTCAGATGAAAATATAAAATCAAAATTAACATTATTGGACAAATTCAAGTTAAAATTAGTCAGATAAACACTTCTCAGATGAAAACATAAAATCAAAATTAACATTATTGGACAAATTCAAGTTAAAATTTAGTCAGATAAACACTTCTCAGATGAAAATATAAAATCAAAATTAACATTATTGGACAAATTCAAGTTAAAATTAGTCAGATAAACACTTCTCAGATGAAAACATAAAATCAAAATTAACATTATTGGACAAATTCAAGTTAAAATTAGTCAGATAAACACTTCTCAGATGAAAACATAAAATCAAAATTAACATTATTGGACAAATTCAAGTTAAAATTTAGTCAGATAAACACTTCTCAGATGAAAACATAAAATCAAAATTAACATTATTGGACAAATTCAAGTTAAAATTAGTCAGATAAACACTTCTCAGATGAAAACATAAAATCAAAATTAACATTATTGGACAAATTCAAGTTAAAATTAGTCAGATAAACACTTCTCAGATGAAAATATAAAATCAAAATTAACATTATTGGACAAATTCAAGTTAAAATTAGTCAGATAAACACTTCTCAGATGAAAACATAAAATCAAAATTAACATTATTGGACAAATTCAAGTTAAAATTTAGTCAGATAAACACTTCTCAGATGAAAAAATAAAATTAAAATTAACATAACTGAAGTTAAAAGTTTTACAGTATATTTCAGAAAGTTTATTTTAGACCAATTTTAATGAGATATGGTTTTCTTCACATTTACTCAACCAGCTAAATTTGGGAATTTAACTTTCAAACTTAATGAAGTGTGGAATGACATCCCTTCCATTTTCCATGTTGGACTTTTACGTAAAAATGAAATGAAATGAATGGAGTTTTACATCCTACTGTTCTGCACCATGTGGGCTAATGAAGACCGACAACACCATGCAGTGTGCAATGAGGGAAATTTAGACAGGACAGCTGCATTAGCCTTCTCTTTTTCAATATCAGTTGTCAATAAACAAAATGAGTTTTACTCATTGGACAGGCAAACACCAAGCAGTGTACAATGAGGGAAATTTTTAAAAACGTACCACAATTGAGGGTGTCGGCTTCATCAGAGTTATCACCACAATCGTCGGTACCGTCACAAACCCAGCGTGACGAAATACATTTACCACTATCACAGGTAAACTGGTTACCAAAACATGTTCGATTGTTAAACGCTACAATCAGAAACCAAGGTTAATCTGAATATTCAAATCATTTCAAAGTTTTACAGGAATTGCAGGAAATACGGACGTCTGATTGAAAATTAGAATGATGTAAATTGATGCTATCAGTGTCCCTGATACACATAAAAAATTTAGAAAACCTCTTTACAATCTCTTTAACAAGAACCACAGACGTCTGATTGAAAATTAGAATGATGTAAATTGATGCTATCAGTGTCCCTGATATACATAAAAAATTTAGAAAACCTTTTTGAAATCTCTTTAACAAGAACCACAGACGTCTGATTGAAAATTAGAATGATGTAAATTGATGCTATCAGTGTCCCTGATACACATAAAAAATATAGAAAACCTTTTTACAATCTCTTTAACAAGAACCACAGACGTCTGATTGAAAATTAGAATGGTGTAAATTGATACTATCAGTGTCCCTGATATACTTAAAAAATTTAGAAAACCTTTTTACAATCTCTTTAAGAATATAAGAAATTAAAAAACGTACAGCAGTATTCTGATTCATCCTCGTTAGAACCACAATCGTTTTCTCCATCACAATGCCAAGCTCCAGGAATACATTTATGTGTTTCAGTACAGTAGAAATCACCTGAAATAAATACCATTACACCATTACACCAAGCAGATGGCATCAAGATTCTAACACCCTAACATACTGAGCTACGGTCCATCCTCAAATATCATGTGTGACCGCTTGAAACCTCAACCTCAAGTCATTTTGACTTTTTGGTACCCTAGTAAAGTAAAACCTTGTATTCTTAGCTTGATTGTAAATAACCCAAAAAACACTAATTAAATAACACGTATAAAAACAGTCATATTTAAAACCTCGTAAAATATATTATTATACGAGGTTCAATGTCCCTTTTCCACGGCCTTTCAGGGCCTCGGTTACACAAAAGTTGACCTTACCTGCAGCACACGTGACCTGATTACAGAAGAGAGGATTTTCATCGTAATTATCTCCGCAGTCGTCGTCTCCATCACACATATACCGTCTTACAATACAGATATTGGTGTTAGGACATTTCACTTGATTGGAGGGACAAACTCGCGGAGCTGAAATAGAAAGATAGATTGTCAGGCAAGATAATATACGCCCACTGGCAGCTTTGATTTTAAATAAAAATATTTAGCAGTACAGTAACAATTACCAGTATGAAATATTCAACCTTCAGTCATACACTTCTTTTGAACTCTTTAGGGTGATACTGAATAACATTGAGTATGAGTTATTGCCCTTGTTCTTGAAATATTCAACCTTCAGTCATACACTTCTTTTGAACTCTTTGAATTCAAGATAAATGATAACTTGTCAGGCAAGGTAATATACACCCACTGACAGAACAAGGGCAATAACTCATACTAAACATTTTTGATTTTTTTGATTTTTATATAAGGACATAATGATATGATTAAGAATACATGATAATTCATTAGAAACACCAATTAATCAAATAGTTTGCTTAATTTGACACTAAAATATAAGGAAACCCATCTTTAATTATATGCAATAAGAACATAATGATATGATTAAGAATACATGATAATTCATTAGAAACACCAATTAATCAAATAGTTTGCTTAATTTGACTCTAAAAAATAAGGAAACCCATCTTTAATTATATGCAATAAGAACATAATGATATGATTAAGAATACATGATAATTCATTAGAAACTTGACTCTAAAAAATAAGGAAACCCATCTTTAAAAAGATTACGTACGACAATTCATTTCATCTGTTTTGTTTCCGTCTCGACAATTATCAACCCCGTCACAAACTTGACCTTTATCAATACAGCGGAAATTTAAACAGCTAAATTGGTCTGGACCACACGTAGGGTAGGCTAAAATATAACATTTATAATTGATATATTTCCTCATGTGAAAAGTTATTCAGCTGCTACCAATGTTTCACCAATATGTTTTTGTTGCAGACGGGTAACGCCATGCAATGTACAATGAGGGAAATTTTGTCAGGACAGCGACATTAGCCTGCTCTTTTTCGATTTCCAACTGTCGAGGGATCTTTAACACACAAATATAACGTATATACAGAATAAATTAATTACTTACGACAATCGAATTCATCAGAATTATCTCGACAGTCGTCATCGAAATCACAACGATATCTGAGAGGAATACAGCGGCCATTATTACAACGAAAATGTGTCGGATCACAAGTGTGAAGAGCTGAAATAATCAAATTCAACTAAAAAAAAAACGATCAATTTTTAAAAAAATTCCATCAGAGCTGTAATGGAAAAATTAACCCTTAGAAAGATGTCAAAATAGCGAATCAAAAGTAATTTAGCAGAAGGGTTTCATTGGTTTAAAACCAGTCATTAAACACAGAAGGAACTAAGCAGAACTGAGATGCACAGGCAACTCTTTTTCTCAGTAATCAAGTGCCTCAAGCACTACCCATCAGGAGTCCAGCGATTTAATCAAGATTCTGAAGGACTTTTTAGCATCACTGACAGGGGGAAACTGTCAGCCCCTCCAACCTGAATCACTGACATGTGGAAACTGTCAGCCCCTCCAACCTGAATCACTAACAGGTGGAAACTGTCAGCCCCTCCAACCTGAATCACTGACATGTGGAAACTGTCAGCCCCTCCAACCTGAATCACTGACATGTGGAAACTGTCAGCCCCTCCAACCTGAATCACTGACAGGTGGAAACTGTCAGCCCCTCCAACCTCAATCACTGACAGGTGGAAACTGTCAGCCCCTCCAACCTGAATCAATGACAGGTGGAAACTGTCAGCCCCTCCAACCTGAATCACTGACAGGTGGAAACTGTCAGCCCCTCCAACCTGAATCACTGACAGGTGGAAACTGTCAGCCCCTCCAACCTGAATCACTGACAGGTGGAAACTGTCAGCCCCTCCAACCTGAATCACTGACAGGTGGAAACTGTCAGCCCCTCCAACCTGAATCACTGACAGGTGGAAACTGTCAGCCCCTCCAACCTGAATCACTGACAGGGGGAAACCAGGGTAAAAATAATAATTTTACATACCACAGTGATTGGGGTTCTCATCACTATTATCTCTACAGTCATCATCCATATCACAGACCCATCTCTGTATCAAACATCGGCCATTTTCACATACAAACTGTGTTGACGTACAATTATGGTTCTCTGGTATACACATTTTTCCGTCCTTACCCAGAACTAATCCACTTCCCTCTTGACATGAACATTCTGGTTCTCCTTTCGGCGACGGATGACATCCATGACTACAACCCCCGTTAAATTTAGCACATGGATTATCATCACCTGAAAAAATAAAAGATAGCTTGCCAGGCAAGGTAATATACGCCCACTGACAGCTTTGATTTTAAAATAAAAATATTTGCCAGTACAGTAACAATTACCAGTATGAAATATCCAACCTTCAGTCATACACTTCTTTTGAACTTTTTGAGGCGATACTGAATAATATTACCAAGTTTCATCGAAATCTGTCAAGAATTGGGCCTTCTAGAGTGTGTACAGGCTAAAACCTGAGCACGTTTTTTAAGAACAAGGGCAATAACTCATACTAAATATTTTTTGATTTATTTGATTTTCAATAGGGTTCATCCTTGGGTGATTACGAACACTCATACTAAGTTTTGTCAAAATCTGTCAATATTTAAACCTTCTAGAGTGTTTACGAGCATTTCAAGAACAAGGGCAATAACTCAAACTAAATTTTTTTTGATTTTTTTGATTTTCAATAGGGTTCATCCCTGGGTGATAGCAAACATTCATGTAGTACACTTTTTTAGGATCGAAGGCAGATCATTGCTATCACAACCAATTTGCAAACTGCGAAAAAATACTGATGCAAAAAAGTAGCAAAATCAATCAGTTGGCATAACGCAGACACCAAAATATCGTACGTACATTTCTGTCTGTCTGGAGAGAAAACAACTATTCCCATTGGTCGAGCTGAAATACCCTGAATCAACATCTTCATATCCGAACCTGTATGTTTCTCCGCGCGGAAAACACCTCCTGTCAAAATAAATACGTCATTCATTAATTTGATTGGCTAAAGCAGGGCAAGGTCAAAAGGTTAATTTGACAAATGTTCAAGAGGGCTGTCGTTAGACCCTAACTGAAGTGGCTACATAAAAAATAAAAGCTAATAAAAAACGGAACGAAACTTTGGTCTAATTTTAATAAGATTAACTGAAGTCTATATTAAAAATGAAAGCTCATAAAAAAGGGAACAAAAGTTCGTAAATCAAAAAGAATACTTACTGAGCGTCCAATCCGTCCAAAAGATGTACTGTTTATAAATCGTCAAGGAGAAGGGATGTACAGTTGTCTGTATTATTATCTCTCTGTACATTCCATGTATATTAGATCTCTCTATACGATCTCTATAAAACATATCAAGATGTACTGTTTATATCAAGATGTACTGTTTATATCAAGATGTACTGTTTATATCAAGATGTACTGTTTATATCAAGATGTACTGTTTATATCAAGATATACTGTTTATATCAAGATGTAAAATGATGTACTGTTTATATCAAGATGTACTGTTTATATCAAGATGTACTGTTTGTATCAAGATGTACTGTTTATATCAAGATGTACTGTTTATATCAAGATGTACTGTTTGTATCAAGATGTACTGTTTGTATCAAGATGTACTGTTTATATCAAGATGTACTGTTTATATCAAGATGTACTGTTTATATCAAGATGTACTGTTTATATCAAGATGTACTGTTTGTATCAAGATGTACTGTTTGTATCAAGATGTACTGTTTATATCAAGATGTACTGTTTATATCAAGATGTACTGTTTATATCAAGATGTACTGTTTATATCAAGATGTACTGTTTATATCAAGATGTACTGTTTATATCAAGATATCAAGACAAAACTGCTCACATGAGGAAGTATATCAATTATAAGTGAGTAAGTATTTCATAATGAAAAGTGGTATCAGGTGTCTAGAAGAGTAAGCATACCCTGCCTGGTACAAAACTGCTCACATGAGGAAGTATATCAATTATAATGAGTGAGTATTTCATAATGAAAAGTGGTATCAGGTGTCTAGAAGAGTAAGCATACCCTGCCTGGCACAAAACTGTTCACATGAGGAAGTATAACAATTATAAGTGAGTAAGTATTTCATAGTGAAAAGTGGTATCAGGTGTCTAGAAGAGTAAGCATACCCTGCCTGACACAAAACTGCTTACATGAGGAAGTATATCAATTATAATGAGTGAGTATTTCATAATGAAAAGTGGTATCAGGTGTCTAGAAGAGTAAGCATACCCTGCCTGACACAAAACTGCTTACATGAGGAAGTATATCAATTATAAATGAGTATTTCATAATGAAAAGTGGTATCAGGTGTCTAGAAGAGTAAGCATACCCTGCCTGACACAAAACTGCTTACATGAGGAAGTATATCAATTATAATGAGTGAGTATTTCATAATGAAAAGTGGTATCAGGTGTCTAGAAGAGTAAGCATACCCTGCCTGGTACAAAACTGCTTACATGAGGAAGTATATCAATTATAAGTGAGTATTTCATAATGAAAAGTGGTATCAGGTGTCTAGAAGAGTAAGCATACCCTGCCTGACACAAAACTGCTCACATGAGGAAGTATATCAATTATAAGTGAGTATTTTATAATGAAAAGTGGTATCAGGTGTCTAGAAGAGTAAGTATACCCTGTCTGGCACCACACCCACCATTGCAGTTCAATATCTCACAAGAAAGGGAAGTACAAACTTACTTCATTGCGTCAGCCCAATATAACATCTGTTCATCGTAATCTATGGTCAGACCATTCGGCCATCCTAGATCACTGTCCACTATAGCTTGTCGTTGATTTCCAGCCATGGTGGCTCTCTCAATCTTCGGATTACTTCCCCAGTCAGACCAGAAAATATATCTATAAATAGAAACAAGACAGATTGCCAGGCAAGGTAATATACGCCCACTGACAGCTTTGATTTTAAATAAAAATATTTAGCAGTACAGTAACAATTACCAGTATGAAATATTCAACCTTCAGTCATACACTTCTTTTGAACTCTTTAGGGCGATACTGAATAATATTACCAAGTTTTGTCAAAATCTGTCAAGAATTGGGCCTTCTAGAATGTTTACAGGCTAAAACTTGAACTTATTTTTTTAAGAACAAGGGCAATAACTCACACTAAATATTTTTCGATTTTTCTGATTTTCAATAGGGTTCATCCTTGGGTAATTACAAACACTCACACCAAGTTTCGTTGAAATCCATCAAGATTTGTGCCTTTTGAAGGGTTTACAAGCTAAAAATTGAACGCGTTTTCAAGAACAAGGTAGACAAGAACCTCATGAACCTAAGTCATTATCCTGGTCAAATTTACCTGTTTATTTCTATATGTAAGTATAAAAATGGACACACATACCCACTGCA